TGTAATGTCTTAAATTTCAGATACAATATTATCAATTTTATTATTATTATACTCTCCTTAAAATAGTAGTCTAAATTTTTAGTTAAAAAAAAAAAAAGAAATATATATATATATATAAAGAGAGAGAGATAATAAGTGCAATATTTTATAATTACAATACATTAAAATTTTTATTACAATTTCTTTTAGTAAAATAAAATAGAATCATATAATATTTATTCCCAATTTTATTATTATTATCTTATTTTTTAAAAAATAAAATTCTTAAATTTTAGTTACCATATTTTAATAAATATATAAATAGTGATATTTTATTTTTGATACCTTATAAAATTTTATATTTCTGGTAGAAAAAAAAAAAATACAGAATATTCAATTATATTAGAAATATTTATAATAACTTAATTATTATAATTACATGTGAAACAAATTAGATATATTATAATTTATATAATACATACATGTAAAGTAGAATAGTTCAGTGACTTGTTTAGTGGTGCATAAGAATTATAAGTTACAAGTCACAGATTCAAGAGATAAAACCTACACTTCATAAAGCCACGTAATCCATAAAGCCATCTGCGTATAATTAAATAGCTTTTCTTTAAAAATAAATAAATAAAAAAATAAAACCTGCACTCCGTAAAATTCAATGCACTCAGTAAAATTCAATTCAATTGATAAGATAAGATAAAAATATCTGCTACAAAGATTCTTATATATCTATTAGTAACGAGAAACTTTAATAACTTTGTAACTAAACTAAAATCTAGTTAAAATTGTAGTAAAAATCTAGCAAATGTAATCATTACATTAGTGCCTATAAATAGGCCTTACCTGAATGAATCAAAGGGAACAAGAGGTTACTAAGACTTGTGGGTAGAGAAAAAAAAAGTGAGGTTACTGAGACTTGTGGGTAAAAAAAAATGGGAGGTTACTAAGACTTGAGGGTGGAGAAAAAAATCAAATCAAGAGAAAGAACAAAGATTTTGAGTGATACTATTTCAAATATTAAGGTAAGGGGGAGGAGAACTTTATCTTTTAAAAATTTTATATGATATTATGTTTATTTATTTATGTTATATTTTATGTGTATTTACTTAGTGAAGTGTCCCTAACTTCACTTACTTGTTTAATCTATGATATTTTTTACTCTTAATAATTAATAAGGTGTTTATAGTTTATGTTTAATTATTTTATAATGACTATCACTGTCATTTACTTGATTGGTACTCTGTAATATATTTCAATTACGTAGACTATATTTTATTAAATTCTAAATAATGAAAAATACTCAACTTATTTAACGTTGTAACACCTCATTTTTCTTATTTCGATTTTATTTTATTTTAAGGGTATTTTGGTAATTTTATAAAGGTGATAGGGGTGATTTAGTAGCTTGGAACGGGTTGTTCCGGAATTGGAACGGGCTGTTCCAAACTACTAAAAAGCATGTGATTTAGTAGCTCGGAACGGCCCGTTCCGGAATTGGAACGGGCCGTTCCAAACTACCAAGTTGTGTGTGAGTTAATAGCCCAGAACGGGCCGTTCTCAAGTTGGAACGGGCCGTTCCGGACTATTAGTTTTGCCATTAACCCTAAATGAGAACGGGCCTGGAATGGGGCGTTCCAAAATTATGGCCGTTGGGGGTAATTAATGCACATCAGAACGGGCCGTTCTGGTTTTGGAACGGGCCGTTCTGGATGTGATTTTTAGCCACGTTTTAATGGTCCGGAACGGGCCGTTCCGGATTTGGAACGGGCCGTTCCGGCGTAAAAAGCCTATAAATAGAGCTGTTTGCCACTCCCAAAAAGCACACCTCTCATTTCTGATTTCTTTTCTTCTGCTTTCTCTCTTCTTTCCTCTACTTTCTGCTTCAGACCGAGGGGAACCCAACGAGGGAGATCAACCAGATCTAGTCTAGATTCAGCTTCTACATATCCAGGTACGGGGGAAAAGGGGATTATTTATATGTGGAGTTGCATGAGGGAATTGGGTAGAAGAAGAGCCCTTAGGATTATGAGTAATTTTACAATTATTTCTGTTTGAAGAATTATTGGCATTATTTGATTCTGTATATATTTAGGACAATAAATATATAATTTGTTTGTAAAAATGATGCTCTAGGAGAGAGAACGAAATTATAGAAAAGTGCCTGTAGGGTAGGTTTTGGAAAAATTGGATTATTCCTGTTTGAGGAATTAATTATATCATTAGATTCGGTATGTGTTGAGGATTATAAATATGCTAATAATTTGTAAAAATGATG